TGCGGGAGGGGGGGATGCAGGCGGCGGCGCGGCGGAGGCGGATACCCCATACATTGTCCTTCTCGCCCATGAGGGGGCTCAAGGGGCGACTATGGCCCCGGTGGCGGCGCTGGGACGCTTCTATGCTTGTATTCACGATGAGAACGAGTTCGTGGAGCTGCCTCAGCAGCATCACACCCTGCGCTCGTGTGTGGTAGTTGACGGTCGAGCCACCGCGGCTCACATTTCGGAATGGATGTACCTGCGCAGTCTGCGGGTTCGATGGAATCCATGAGAACTGTTGACAAAGAAAACATCACCAATCTGAGGGTAGGACTACAAGAGAACCCTTTCTGGTGTGTATATCGGAAGCGCATCAAAGATTAAAAAGGAAAAATATTTTAAGATCTAAGACCATAATTTCTGCCTTTGTGTGGACTTTTTCTAACTTAATAATATCCATAGAATAAAAAACTTATATTTTTATTTTCTTGCAATTAGTTAGCCCTCCGATTTCATCTTTCAATAAATTTATAGCTACATCCCCTTTCGTTCTATATATGGATATATTTATACTATTTAGATCCTATTTGTGCATGTCTAGTTTGAACTACTTTTAAATCACCCATTTGGGGTTTATTTTCACCTCCTCTTCATTAGACATTTTGTCCATACAGAGACAAACAAGGGTGGAATATTTCTACGCTCAAATTATAATTAGATTTTGTGTATTTTCTAATTATTTATTGCATATGGCTATCTACCAGCAATTCTAATTAGGCAAGAATTTCACTTTTCCCTTTGATTTCACTTTTCCATGTTATTGATTATAGACAATGCGTTGTTATCTAAGATTAAGTGAACCCCTTTTTTTTATCTATCAAAATATATTTCCCATTATTGATATTATTAGATATAAGTCAAGGAATAAGAAGCAGCAATTGTTTCTTTTAATTTTCTTGTTTTCTATAGATATTTTGGATTCACTCTCCATTCATAGATCTCATTCCTTTCTGTCTTCAAGGGTGCGCTTTGGGATATTTACTACCACTTCTCAAAGTTGCGTGCTTAAGCATCCGGGGAAGGTATGGTTCAGTGGAAGTTATGCAATGCTTCTAGTAAGGACATCCTAGAAGAGATGACGGATCGTGATTCTACCAATTCTTCAATTCCAACCACCCCTATGGAGGCCTTTCCCACTACATTAAATCTTCCAACCTCACTGCGATTATCCAACGATCATGAGAATGATGACGCTTGCGGTTCTTCTTATTTTGATAATAAGGAAAGCAACGTTAAGGAGGGACCTGCTTTCCCGGCAGATATCGGGCGTGCATCCACGCCTCATCGCGTCATTCCGCCGCGGACATCCCATTCCCCCGGCTCAGTTCACCACGTTGTGGAGGCGGCGGATGTGGAATTGATATCCACGGAAGAAATTCGTTCCAGATCGAATACTGAGGGCGCGGCCTTGTTGGACAAGGGTGGAGAACCTCATGAGGGCAACCTCCAAGGCGGCCTTGGTCCTGGGCGGGACTTGCCGTTGGCCTTGCCGGAAGCACCCCCTGCCGGAAAGCTGAAGGTCGACGACGTCGCGTCGAGTCTGCGTGGGCCCTTATTATGGCAACATGCTCTCAGCTCTGGCGACGAGCTCCGTAGGCTGCAAAGTCAGGTCTTGACGTTAGAACGCGAGCATGAAGAAAGCAAGCAGCATGAGGAGGAGATGGCGGGCTTATTGGTTAAAAGTACAATCTATATGGAGGAGCTCAAGCGCTCTCTACAAGAAGAGCGACGTCAAAGAGAAAGCGCCGAAAGGATAATCCAAGGATCCAAGTTGTTGAAAAACGGCGACTGCGATGAGCCGGATCAGTCTGGCAATGCCGAACCAACCCCTGTTTGTGGTTTACCGTCCGACTATGTGGCATCCTCGTTTGGGAATTATTCAGAGATCTCGACCAACACGACGCGGCGGAAAAACTCCCCCCGAGACCTCCAAGACCGCTCGCTAACCCTTCTTTCCTCGCCAGCAATGGGGGATACAAGGCGAAAAGCCCTAGAGGCGATGACCCTCAAAGTCGCTGAGGTGGAAAAGGAAAATGTCCGCCTACGGCACCATTGCAGGACGTTTTCGAAGAAGCTGCGGGCGGCGCGTTGCGAGGGTGAGACCGCCGCGCAGGCCCAGCGGCGCGCCCAGGACTACATCGCGAAGCTGGAAAACCAGCTGACGGAGGTTTTATCGGCGAACGCGCGGCTGACCGAGTCGACAGGCCGCGCGCTCGAGGAGAAGGTGGCGGAGCTGGGGCAGCAGTTGGAGGTGGCCCTCAGGACGCGGCGAACCGCCGAGGAGCTTCGCGTGCTCGCGGAGCTTTCGCTGAGTTTTGTGCTCGACTGGCTACAGCGCGATTCGTCGCCGCAGCTCGACGGGGCATGGGGACAGGCGGCGGATGAACCCGCAAAGTTCGCCGAAAGCCCTGGAAAGTCGGTTGAGGGCGGCGAAGGCGCCGCTGCCCGAGCCCACGACCTAAACGCAGCTTTGCAGATTAGCGAAAGCGACATTTTGTCGAATTTAGAGCGCCCCATTGTGCTGACGGAGATTCGCGCTAACCTATCACGCATTCGGTCTGGTAAACCGAGTGGGCTCAATGGTATGGCGATTGATCGCAAAGAAGGCGCGGAGGTGAAGGGGTTTCCCGAACCTCGCGAGGGCCCGTCGGGTCCCCTGTCGAATGCCACGCTACTGAGCCTGCCGCAATGTCAACAAACGGTGAATCGCGCACTGACTGCCGCGCGGGGCGCCGCCCGACGCCGGCGCTCCGCCAACCAGGCCGCCCTTGAAGCGTTTGGGGACGCCTGCGTGGGGCTCGCCGTGCGGCCTCAATGGGAGCTTTCGGATGCCCTGGAGAAGTTCTCGCAAAGGCTTTGGCGTGCTCAGGAGCGACTCCAACAAGCGGTGGTTCATCGCACGCAAGTGGGGGCTCGCGATAACGCGATCGAGGCGCAGCTTCGTTCGGAACTTCACCACACGCAGGCCGACCTAAACCACAGCTTCTCCCGTCTTCGTCTTCTGGAAGTGGAGAAGGCGGGGGTGGAAAAGCGGCTGGGCCAACTGCAGGATAAGTGTCTTTTAGCTGAAAAAATGAACGCCCTCGGCTCCCTTCCGTCAGAACTGCAGCGCGGCGTAGGCCGCGCCCTACGTCAAACGGTGAGTGATCTTCAAGACGTCGTAGGGGTCGACGTAAATATTCTACAAGGGTCTTTTCTGAAGCAAATTCAAACCCTGGCCCTTCGTGGGGAGGCTCACCTTGAGCTCATCCATCGTTTTTTGATCGACCAGCATTCCAACCCCTCCTCGGGCGGCATCCGGCGCGATGGCGGCAGCGACGACGACTTCGCATCCGCGCGAACTTCCTGCGTTTCGAAAGCGCCACCCTGCGTATCCCTCGCCTTTCCCGCCTCCACATCGTGTGCGCAGGAAGGGATTGGGGAGACCAACAGGAGGACTCCCCTCGGGCGAAATTCGACCCCCCACAGTCTTCACCACAAGGGCGATCCTACTCCGAGGCCGTTCATACGGGAAACGAATGCCTTGGGCGAGACCGTGCGGCCGACTTCGCCGCCACCCTCGCATTCGCTGACCCCGCGCCAAAAGAGCATTTATTACCACATGAAGCATCTGATTCACGCCCCGCCGTCCCCTTTGTCGGCCAGCACGGGTCCCTCCGTGGAAGGGCATCTTTTCTCGCGCTCGTCGATGGCGACCTCATTTCCCGCGTTTACGGCGCGTCGGTCGGTGGAAAATGGGTTGCGTGGGGAGGCCCCTGCCGCTGGACCTCCGCAAACGACCTCATCGGAGCGGGATGATTGGGTGCGAGGGGCCAAAACCCTCGCCGGCCAACTCGCCAACGTCTGTAAGCTGATTGAAAATAGCACCAATCAGAGCGCCGATCTGGCGAGAACTATCCAAACCCGGATTGCCTCCTACGAGAGGAATATCAAAAACGCCTTGGAGTCCGCGGTGAGCGAAATGGCTGAGCTTCTACAGGGAGGGGTGGCTGGTGTAAAAATAAAGCGCTGACCCCCGCGAGCGCGCCGCTGCCCTCGTCTTTGACCCCACGGACGTCTCCATCACCTTTTTCTTTCGCCATTTGTGAGTCGTAGCCGGTCTTGCACGAATTTTTCGGCGTTTAATAGGGAAACCGCGGCCCCAAACGAAATATTTTCGCCTAGATTGAACGTTCAAGTCCCGAAGGTTGAACCGTCAGCGGGGAAGGGTGGTAGATGAATTGGCAAAATGTGGGGCGCGGGAGAACTGAGGTCTAGGCAACTGCTTCTGGCAGTTAGCGCTCTGCTTGCACTTCGGGAGCCGCGCAGCCGCTCGAATAGGGACTGATGAGCTCCTGGGAAAAGACTTGGATGGGGTTTCTTATTTATGGAAATTGTTTCGACGCGCAGTTTCACCTGTTCTGGAAACGCTGGAGGCAAAGTACCTACGCGGGTTGGAGTCTGACGATGAACAATGATGACCAGCCCTGAGCAGGATGCCAAACTTTCTACGAAATAATGGGAATTGTTGTCCAGGAAGGAAGCAGGACGAACACCTTTTCACCATCACGACTTTATGGGCGCACCGACAATTCAAACCTACCCGTTGTCAGTCCTATGAAGACAAAAAAAGAACGCCAAGGTAGGTCTTTCCTCCGATGTGTGAACGCTTGATCCCGATTTCAGATGGTTCCACTTCATAGCTGAGGAATTCTACAGGAAATCTTTATTTAGTGGCTGCAATACTCAGGTGAGTCTTTTTTTTTTTGAGTGCGTGTGTGTTTGGTCACGGGAAGGCAAAGAGGAGATGGTTAGAGGAATACGCATCTCATGCCATCCACGTCCAGTAGAGGAAAGTTTAACAACGATCGGTACCCTTGCAGTTTTTTGTGCTCACTGGAAATAGGAGGTGGGATGCCACATATTAAGGTCTTCCTTTGTGCTAAGGCTCCTGAGCCAATTTTATCCTCTACATTTCTGGAATTCTATTAGATCTTTATGGATCTTGAGCGTCCATGTTTACAAGTCAAAAAAAAAACATCCCTGATTTGGAAGTAAAGTAATTGCCATGGCACGATAAATATATTTGTCTTCCTTATATTTAGATGGGATGATAGAGAGGGACGGAAATCTCAGATCCAAAACCTTATTCTTTGGATATCTTTACAATTTCATTCAGGCAAATGTTTTTATTTTTTTTCAAATTTCCACTAGCCACCCCTTAAGTGTCTTAGTGTAATTGCTATATGGCTTCAAATATTTTAGAATATGGGAATCGAGGAATCATACTTTGAAAGAGACGGTAACCTTATTTTACATCCATTTTTATTTCCTATTGTTAGATTCTTTAATTTATTAATTGACGTTTTTTTTCCAAAGGTTACACTTAAAGCTTTATTTTCATATTTGTATACATTACACCCAAGAAAGAAAGAAGAATTAAACATGCTTCGACGCAGCATATTCCGTCTGGGCACCATCGACAAGGTGATGTCCCTCGAGAAAGCGATTGGCGATATCCCGAACAATGTCGAAATTGCGTTTGGCGGCTTTGGCTGTGCGGGGGTTCCGTTTGCCCTGATCAAGGAACTCCAACGGCGCGACGTGAAGGGGATTACGGCCTACACCGACTCCGCCGGCATCGAGGGCTGGGGGATTTCGATGTTGATGGAGCAAAACCAGCTCAAGCGCATCTGCTGCTCCTACGTCGGGGTGAACAAGTTCTTTAGCAAGCGCTATTTGGACGGCGATCTCGAGCTCGAGTTCGTCCCGCAAGGGACGCTGGCGGAGCGGATGCGCTCCGGCGGGGCGGGGATCCCCGCCTTCTACACCGCCACCGCCTACGGCACGCAATGCCAGACCGGGGGCCAGATCGTGAAGTACGACAAAACCGGCAACCCCTGCGTGCTTTCCGAGCCGAAGGAGACCCGCTGCTTTGACGGGCGGTGGTACGTGATGGAGCGGACGATTCGCCCGCACTACGCCTTCGTTCGCGCGCACAAGGGCGACCGGGCGGGGAACCTCGTCTTCCGCGCGATGTCCCGCAATTTCAACATCCCCGCCGCCCAGTGCGGGCGGTGCGTCATCGCGGAGGTGGACCACCTGGTCGAGAACGGCGAGTTGGACCCGGACGAAATCCACCTCCCCCGGGTCTTCGTGCACCGCGTCGTGCAGGCCCCGAAGTACAAAATCCCTATCGAGCAGCGCACCGTCTTCGGGGCGGCGCAGAAGGCAAAAGGCGAGGACGCCCGCCAGATCATCGCCCGCCGCGCCGCGCTCGAGTTCGCGGACGGCATGCACGTTAACTTGGGCATCGGCATCCCCACGGAGTCCGCGAACTACATCCCCCCCGGCGTCAGCGTGTCTTTGCAGTCCGAGAACGGCCTGATCGGGATGGGGCCCTTCCCCACCGAGGACAAGGTCGACCCCGAGTGGATCAACGCGGGAAAGCAAACCATCACCTACCTTCCAGGGGCCGCTTGCTTTGACAGTGCCGTCTCGTTCGGGCAAATCCGCGGCGGCCATATCCAGCTCACCATGCTCGGGGCGTTGGAGGTCGCGGCGAATGGGGATCTGGCGAATTGGTGTATTCCCGGGAAGCTCATCAAAGGCCCGGGAGGGGCGATGGATCTCGTCAGCAGCGGCTCCCGCGTGGTGATTACGATGACCCACACCAACAAAGACGGCGAGCCGAAGATTTTGGAGCGCTGTAAGCTGCCGGTGACCGGGATTGCCTGCGTGAGCCGCATCATCACTGAGCAGGCCGTCTTTGACATCGAAGGAAAGCAGCTGGTGCTGAAAGAGCTCGCAGAGGGGGTGACGGTGGAGAAGGTCAAGTCCATCACCGACGCACACTTTAAGGTCTGCGATAGCCTGAAACCGATGCCCCTCGCGAAGATTACGACTTGTTGATAAGGAAAAAAAAAAAGAAGTGCCTGATGTTTCGATATTTCGTGAAATGCGATACTCTTGGTCATACGCTCGAAATGATGAGAAACTATAAATTAATAACAATTCTATAAGTCTATCAGATGGCATTTCATTTAATAATTTTTGAATTGTAAAGACAAATAAAATACAGGGTTGGATGAAGTTAGTGTTCCAGGTGTTATTAGAATATTGTTGAAAGCCAACCATTATGTATATTTCGCTATACATTTAGTCATAAATTTACAAAACGTATTGCTAAAAACTAAGCAAAGTATTGCTTATTTTGGAAATTATACGTAATATTTACTAAGGCGGTAGTGAAAGTTGTTGTGCTTCTTCCATATTGATTTCTACTTATTTCAAGTATTTTAAACTCGTATCAAGATATACAGTGAGAAATCGTTCCGAAAAGTAACAGTTTACAAGTAAGAAAAGGATTCACGTAGTCTGTTTAACTTGGTATAACAAATGGAGCCCAAGTTGCACCTTTGAATTATTTATATAAATACCAATGATCAAAGAAAATATTTCCTAATTTTTGTGACCATTTATGAGGTCTATTTTTAAAAAAATTCAGATTCCTTGGAGATAGGGCTTACATCATTTTAAATTTATACCCACTGCTTTATTTCTATTAAATAATCTTTCCTGAATGTTTTTCTTCTTAAACTAAAACTAGGTTTTCCACAACGATTTCGCGATGCGAAATACACAAATTTCACTATTCCCATGTCTTTCCTAATGTAAAGAAATCGTAAATGAACACACTGCCTATTAACTCCGAAATCCCTGTATCCTCCCGTAACGATTTTGTCAGTGCGCTGTTGTCATAGTCCTCAAAAGGAGTATTTTCTTTTATTGATATTCCATTCAGGGCAATACGCCTTAGGTCTGTTGTATTTACCACTATTTTAACAGATTTTTCCGCTGTAGCCTACTTCACATGGTTGGTTGAACCGGCATTGCTTGGGGATACCGTTGATCGCAGCTTCGCACACACCTGTAGATATTTTATTCAACAGGTCAAAAAGGTATTTTGGCTAACGCTTTACCTTTTAAATAGCATTATCCGTGAGTGTAACGGCGAAAAAGGTGAGTTGAGAGCGATTCACTTGGGCTGCAGTCTTGATCCAAAGGCACTGGTTTATATCCTTCAATTGGATTTAGTTATTGAAGGTGAGGAAAGCAGGAGTCTTTGAAATATCTAGATGAACCCATCAACCTATGCGGATAATGAAGTCAGGGGAAATTTTTAGATTTTCAAAAGATGATAGAAAAAATCTGTGGAGTGCGACCACAGTCTTGGTTCCATCCTTGAAAGAGTAAGAATCAGGAAGGAAAGGGCTAACGTGGATTAAGTTTGGGTCCTCAATCCTCACGTTCAGGGTATTGCGTAATGGTGGATGCGCTTAATGGATTTTATAACGCAGGAGCACTTTCACTTTTATTATTTTTTAGAAATTTTTAATAATACATTTTGGAGGGCATGAATTTCATGCTGCAGCAGAGGCTGGAGACACGGGGATGGCTACGTTCAATGCATGATTTCTTCCAATTACTCTAAGTGTCGATCCTTTGTTCATGTGTGAAAGGGTGTGCTAAGGAGAGAAACCCTATACCATCCACAAATATTTATGTCCTATAAGTATCTACCGATCCATGCACAAAGATGTTTACGAATGTTCGATCCATTCACGTTGATTCCATCACTTTTTGTTTTACACGATAACAAAGGATTGCCCTTTCCCCCGTTCACAATAAAAAA